ATGTTTAATCCACATGTGATTTTTCTTTTTTCAAAACACATACTGATATTCCCAAATCTTAAAATGTCTATAAGTCTTCAGGTCTGAAGTACTTAGATAAGCAATACTTATCCAGTCATACCTACTACAATGGAAATGCTATGAAAATAGTTTTTATAGTGTACTGTTTAGGGAATATTGGTTAAGGAAAAAGTCTGTGCATGTTTAATCCACATGTGATTTTTCTTTTTTCAAATATTTTTGATCCATATTTGGTTCAGTCCACAGTTATAGAATCTGTGAATATGGAGAACCAATTTTACTTCCAAAAGTAATACAAAATGATCCTTTCAGAAATGTATCTCCGCCATTTCTTTCCACCAAAAATGGAAAATCACAGCAATATTTCTGCATGGTCTCATGAGGTAAATCAAACGCTGAAAGGTAGTAGCTGCTGCTCAGAAACCAGGAGGGTTGCTCAGAGACAAACTGCCTGAGTGTTGGTTTGTGTAGAGTACTTCCATATTACATGGTCAAGTGAGATCAAGGGTCTACAAAAAACTAAAGTAACCACTACCACACTTTGAGTATCGGGAAGCTCATGGCATACTTGTACAGTGGACTCTCAAGTTATAACTGGCCTGACATATGAACAACTTGGGTCAGGACTGAAATTTTAGCTTTAAATTATGACCAAAGTCTTGATTCATGACCCAAATGCTGGTCTTTTCTGTGTGGAGTTAATTGAGAATTCCAGTGCCAATGTCTCTCTAAAGACACAGAGATCTGCTTGGAAGGAGGTTTTGGTCTAAAATTATACCAGAAAGAGTCTTTGAAGGCTGTGTAGAGGAGCCTAAGCCTTCAGTTGACCCTGGGGTTGATGACACTGTCACTATAGCAGCATTCATAGGCTTGCAGGCAGACAGTGGTGAAGTTGAGGAGCTGTGGAGGAACCACTCAGAGGAACGATCTACAGAAGAACTTCAGCAACTTCTGGCTGAGCAACAGAAAATGGCAGCTTGAGAGGCTTTCTGAAGAGGAGGGGGAACACCAACAATTGGTGCAACAGAGATCTTCTGAAATAAAGGAAATCCTAAAAAAATGGACAGAACTACAAATATTTGTACAGAAGACCCACTTGGACAGAAAAAGCCACTTCTTGAATTCCCTTGCTTAATGACAATATAGTACGGTGTTAAAGAAAAGTCAGAAATAAGCCTTACATCAGTGTTTAGTTCTGAAGATGTTGATACCTAGTGAGCCAGAAGCAGATCCTAGTGGGCTACAGACTCTCCCAAGGAGAGAAAGGCCACCAGTGAGCCAGACTCCTTATGTTCTTATGGAAGGGGACTCTCCTTCCAAACAATAACCACCTTCCATTTAATTCTCCCTTCCTGAAAGCCCAAGATGTTAGTTTGAATGATAAGCACAGTAGGAAATTTTTGTTTCTCGTAAACTAGGCACAGTTTATAACTTTTTGCATACACTAGAAAATTATTGGTGTTTCTGGTGAATTATGCACATTATATAACCCCTTTTTATTATAAAAGGTTAAATAAGGGGTGCTTTGGAACTATGGTATTTCCAGTCTTTCATATGGAAAAAATAGTCTTGACTTACAACCAAGTTGAATTATAACTAGCCCTTGCAAATGAATTGAGTTTGTATGTAAGTCAAGGGTCTCCTGTAGAAGCAGGAAGAATCCTCTACAGGCCCTGACAATGGACAGCTCTTGTTATGTCTTACATCCACATGTCCTCCCAAAGTTTAATGCAGTCATAGGTGGGTCTTTTTCAGAGGTGGCTGGATCTAGAGTGTGTGACCCTTGGATTGATTCATGGTGCAATGCTAGGATCAAGGGCATTAGGATTAAGGGTGTGAGTGCTACCCATCCTAAGTAGCCTGGATAAGAAATGAGAGATAGAAAGAGCTGTAGTCAACTCTTGTTGCTTTGCTACCTTTTGCTCTGCATGAATTTTTCTCCTCTGTGATACATTTCAGCCATGACACCCTGCCTTGGAGCCAGCCAACTATGGACTGAAACTTCTACAAACTGTGAGCCAAATAAGCCTTTCTTCTCTTAACTTGTTAGTATTGGGTATTTTGTCTCAGCAATGAGAAAAGTAACTAAGAAAGATCTCAATAAAATGTTTAGTGGATTCTGAATGTAGGAGTTATCAGAGCAGAAGCTAACAGAAGATTTCTTATTGGCGGACTTTCTCATTTGATAAAATGGGAAAAATATTTGTTAAATCACAGGACCAAATGTTCATCTAAAACTTTTAATTTCTGAGTTGTTTGGAAAGAAAGCACTATAAGTGTACTACCATTCTCTAATGTGTGTGTGTGTGTGTGTGTGTGTGTGTGTATACATTATTAATATATACATTTTTAATATACATTAAAAAATATTATATATATGCCAAAAAATGTTTACACACTTCAGGAAAAGAAAAACTGCTATAAATATTTTAATACTAAATTTACTGAGACACCCTGAGATTAATACAAGTTACCTTTGGCCTCTACAGTTACAAGTGGTGCTTCAAGTAGTGTCCATTAGCTTCCAGACATTTATTGGTGTAGCAAACTTCTGCTTTTAACCTTGGTCATTATTTGCTGACTCTTAACATTTAAATTTAAATCTACCATAAGAGAAGATACTTTTTTTTTGTACGGGGGTTCGAACTCAGGATCTTGCGCCTAATCCCCGGCCCCTTGATTTAATTTCTTGAAACCGGCCTCAGAGGAGGAGGGTGGAGGGTGTGCTTCCGCTGTCTCTCTCTCTCTGATGATCTGCGAACCTGGGTTGGGCAGAGCGTCAGCGGCCATGTCCTAAAGACACCCCCTCCCCCTCCTCAGGCGCCGCTTCGGGCCGGCAGGGGGCTCTTCGCAGCAGGGCTCCCCCAGGTGGCG